CAAGTGATTTCTCGGAACATGTCAAAGCTAAAGAGAGCATAAGTGTTATGCTAACAAAGAAATAACTATTATGGTAAGTGTTGCAAGTTAGCAATGTTAATTATAGAAAACAAAACTTTCAAATCGCAAAGTTGCAAGGTTTGAAAAAATGTTGTGCTATAATTAAGGTAGAGGAATTCATGCTCCATTTCAAATCTAAAAGCTTAGATTGTGAGATTTTAATCAAATTTAGTCATACTTCAAGATTGTGTTAATTGCATTCTCAATTTCCATTATGAGTACGACACCCCTCTTCATAATTCGAATTATCATAACTTGGCAAATAGAAACATTATAGCAAAACAATGGTCAGGTATCATGTCTTTATGAATCGTGTCAAATATGCTTCGGGTATAGGATCGATTACATGTGCTATAATATTTATTTGTTCTAAAATTTCCAAATTCCTAGGGCATTTAGATGGAAAAAGGAATAGAATCGGATATGACTAAATTTGATTAAACAACTGTTAAGGACAATCTAAGGTTCGCCAAGGATTGGTCGCTTGTAGTTGGAAGTATAGAAAAGGATGGACCATATTGACATATTCCGAAAAGAGGAAACTCTTGTTCAGAAGTGATAGTTAAAATGCGAATATGAAAATGTTTCCATAGGTGGAAGTTATTCTTTAAATCTATGTAAGATTAGGAAACTTAATGCAAGAAGGATGTTCAAAGGAATGCACTTTGAATTTGAGACTTCGTTTCCATGGAATTGCTCTCCATTGGAGTACTTTGTGCATAGTCATTACAATAGGATCATTGCATATAAGTTTAGAATCTAATAAATTACAGTAAATGGCAAGAATTTGATATTCTTACATTTACGGTAAGGATTTGGAATTGTGAAATGAGCATCATTGAAATGGTGTCAATTGATCTATTTCACAAAGTAATGATCATAGATAAACATATTGTGCATGCTTGGAGCATGGGACAACTATTGTTTTAATTCAAGTATTAAGTTGATTATTCGAAACATTATACAATGAATAATCAGTAATCGATATGGCACTCAAAAGTTTTGGGGCTATATAGGGTTAGTATTGTTCTTGTGTTTCGCTTTGCATGTTTTGACTTCCTGAATAACTAGGTTATTGAAACCATCCACTGTCGATCATACTTTGGATGTATATATTGAGGCAAGACTGTCATGAATGGGTCTATGGTTTGTCTAGGTGTTTTAGACATAGCACAAGTTTGCTGCAGTGTTCATGAGTGCTCCTGGAATAAGTTTCGAGTATTGGATTCAACCTACGCTCATGTGAATCACTTCATGGATTTTATCATGAGTGATTGTGAGATGATAATATCTTATATTCTTAAAACGGAGACATGTGAGTTGTAGTTGCAAGTTGGTTGTTGATCGATGTCGTTGTATCAATCAAAAATAAACCAACTAACCTAAGTAGATATGGTAAGTCGGATCGAATCCACAAGGAGTTCGTCGTTAAACTTTGTGTAAAAGCAATCAATAAAAAGAAAGGTATTACTAGCAATTTTCACGAAAACGATTAAAGAAAAAAGAATCAAACACAAGCTTGGATATTTATCAATCAAAATGAAAATCTCAATGAGAAAACTAGAGTACTCTCGGTTCAGTTATGGACAATTTAGGTTCACACACTTTCTTCCCTAGAATCCTAATTCAACCAATTAGATGCAATTAAGGTTTATTAACTTGTAACACATAGTTTGGGCACACTAAATGTTCATTCAACTAGTTGTCTTACTCATTTATGTCTAAATGGATTAGGAACAATTAGTTAACTAGCAATAAAATGTCCTACAACTACCTATTATTGCATTAAGATTCAACATTGTAAGTTGGAATAATATATGTTGATTCAATCACTTGTCTTTATTCCTCAACTAATTGAACATGGAACAAATGATGAATGGACAATAGATTGTCTTAATTATGACATTAAAAAATTCATACAACTCAATTTCAGTTATCATTACCAAAGATCATCATATGAAGCATAAAACATCAATTGAAATTAACTAGAATCAAGTAATAATCAAGTGTGTTCATCAAAACGTCCTAAACATCCCCGGAAGTAACCTTAATGATTTAGCCTTCCATTGAGTTCATAAAACAAATAACTTGAATGAAATAAATGAAATACATAATAGATTTCATAATCAAACTTAGAATCATCAAACAAATGTAGCCTAATGATTATCAAAGTACGAAACAAATAAACCTTGGTAGAAAGTAATCGTTTCTGAAAATTACTAGAATTGATGACAATCAACGGTTGAATGATCTTCAATTGTTGCTTGATGATGAATTGAATCGAATCTTGCCTTGAATTCGGATTGAAATGGAATGGACTTGCGTTTCCAAATGTTTCCAAGGGTAACCCTAAAACTGAATGCATAAGTTTTGGTGGATAAAACTACATAACTAGCAGAAACACAAAACACGAAAGTCGTAGAAAATATTTTCTAGTTTCTAGAACTTCTTTACTCATGTCAATAGGATCTACAGAACTTGATATATGACCAAAACATTGAAGCATGGTCAAGTTTCCCAGCAATGTTTCATCATTCCTTAAGTAATCCGTTTTACTAGCAGATTACATCCACTTTTAGTACAATATAATGACCTGCATATAAATTCCAACAACTCATCAAAGTAGTGCCATTCTTGGACAATTATACATCAATTCAATAGATTTATGACAATTTAGTATATTCATAAAATTGACTTATCAAACCTACCCAACTTTATTCCAAACTTGTCCCGAGATTGGCCTGAAATAATCAGCGTAGTCTTAGTCTCTTATCCTAAGAAAAACTCAATGGAATCATGAATTTTGTACTTTTTATCACAACATTTACAATAGCACAACATATTGATTTTGGGGATTATTATTTTTTTATCCAGACTTTTAAACTCAAAATACATCTTATGCTTATTTTACTTTGTTGTTTGAAACCCTCTACTTTTTGAACCCTCTCTAATAATCAACCTCATGAGTAATAAGTTGAACTCATTGCCAATGTCTCGTTCTCAAGGTTCACTAACATAGTCAACGTGGTCGGTAACACTTAATGGACCAACCCACACACTCCCGCTATCGAGGGGTCACATATTGTTTCACACAATGTCTTCAACTTAAACTCTTCTTCATATTTATCTTGACTGTGCATTCTTCAAGTTATTTTATGGCTTCATCAGATTTGATCATCTTTGTATTTGACTTGAGCTTGAATATATATATATATATATATATATATATATATATATATATATATATACTTGGAAGTTCTTCAATGTCTTATGATGCTTTTTTGTGTTAAAACAATAATAGTCCCCTCCCAACCCCAAAGGCAAAAAAGTAAGTAAGTACTCCGAGCATGATGACACATATTGTTCGGTTGGGTCCTCAATTGAAAGATCATAGGCTCGAGCCAAAAACCTTCATTTTTCAAAAACTTAGATATTTCACATAACAAATTTTTAAATAAATATAAATATTCCCAAACCGGCTGAGCAACCCACAAAATCAATGTGAAATAAATATTATGACTTGATGTACGAAACTCTTATCATTTTCCATCTTGATGAGTTACATTCAAGATATAGAGATGCTACTAACTCATCACATATTTCATGGAACCAACCCAAGATTGAATAGTAATAATAATAATAATAATGAGTTTAATAACAGTACATTCATCCCAAATAAAGACATTAAAATCAAAAGAAAAATTAAAAAAAAAAGAAAAAGAAAAAGTCTTCATCACACAACCATAAAAATAAAAATCAAAAGCGGATCTCACCAAAGTTCATTCTGGAGGCGGCTGTAGAGGATAACGTGGGTACGGTGGAGGATACCCAAAGATCAATCCAACTAACTCCTTAAAGCGAGTAGAGTCCTCTGTAGTTGGTGGTGGCTGATAATGCTCATACTCGGATGGTGGTGGATAGTTGCTCGGATCCCTGGATCGGTAGAAGACCAGAGCTGGAGCTCGATATCAATACTGTGGCTAATCAATGTCCATCAATTCATACTGGACATGACTCTGTCTGTAGGCAACATTTGCATAGTACTATTGTTGGTACAGTTGACGAGTGGCAACACTATAAGTGTTGCTAGCTGTAATGCCGACCTGTCGCATCTGCTTAGTAAGATCAGCTAGTGTCGTGTCGACACCCTCCATCCATATATATGTTATCCCCATCCAAGCCTGCACCTCCTGGTTGTGCGTGTTCTGCCTCCCCACAAAGTCCTCCCAAGCTACCTGCATGTTCCATCCTTAACTTGCTGCTTGTGCCTGTTGCTGCTGCTGATCCCCCTGAAAATCACCAACGAATGGGTCCTCATCCCCACTCCGAGTGGTACCGTGTATGTCAGAATTGTGGTTGAATCCCTCAGAATATGTCTCCCATTTTCAACATGAAATGAGATATGTCTAAGAGAAGTAGCAGTAGGGTGAAGGTTACGCTGGTATGATGTAGCTCGTGGGACGCTGATCCTATTCCCCAGCTCCCTAGTCACATATGTCGATATCAGGGCGACATGGTGGATGGTGGCTTTGTGTTGGATATCAAAACAGGACCATATGTTGCACATAACATTATATGCATAAGAAGTAAAGATAGACCATGTCATCAATCCATATAATACATATAAATCTTGTGTCCTCACCGCCCTGGGATCACTATTCCTCGGGTTCACATTTTCTGTGATAATGTTATGTAATGCCTTTGCTAAAGGCACCAAGTCGCGGAATCTGGTGTATGCCCTCATCCCCTCACGGAATAATGTATCGTATACTTCTATTATGCTAACCCCAGGGTTACCCCCCCCCCCTTGTGTCAATATATCTATACTCAGTCAGTTGATTCTCAAGATCATGCAGATAATATCCAGTATCTACATGAAACAAGTCCTGAATACCCTGCACGGTCATCACTATATCATAAGTACAAATCATACCAACCAGCTACAACTCCTTCGACCTACTAGGCAGCTCAACACGTCGAAGTGTCCTCATCCATTCCCGCACTATATCAACATAAATCTGCATGGGATTGAAGTCCAGTGCTCCACCCCATCCATAGCGATCATACGTCTCCACAATACTATACCCAGTGAAGCTCGGTCGCTCCACCATGTACTCTACAATAAAACCCGTAATCAGAGGAGTCGCCTCATAAACTGTTGGGCGAATGTCGTCTTGATGCTCATGCAATGTTTGATACTGTGGTTTGAAGGCCACAGGTACATGTGGCTCCAGCTGTCTAACTGGTTGTCTAGCTGCACTGCTTGATGATGCTACCCTTGATCTCTTTGCCGACATCTTGTTGAAATTGTGTTTCTAGAGAAGAAGAACCAAGAACTTGAAGCAAAAACCCAAAATAAGTCAAATTTTCGAAACCCTAGTTTTTGTGGGTTTTGAAATCGGCCCCAAATAAGTGATTAGAGTGTGTAAATCTTGCAGTGTGATGTTTCTTACTTGATTTCTTGAAGATTGCAACAAAAATCACGAATTTTGGTTGAGTTTTGGCCAAGAAATCGAAGGAAATAGGCAAGAACAAGTGGGTTTTCGGCTATTGCAGTTTGGAGAAGAAAGATACCAACAATTATGCATAAAACGGCATAAAACGGGTGAAAAACGCGTCGGTGTCCTAGCCGGCGTCTTCGATGCGTCCTAGGACGTCTTACATAAAAAGGGTATTTTTGTAATTGCGCATGGAATTTTGCTAAGGGAAAAGAAACGGCAGCCCGACGGCGTCTAAGAAGCGTCCTAGGACGCCTGAATCTACGATTTTTTATTTTATTTTGCTGTTTTTCACAATTTTGACCGTTCGGGAACGTGTTTCGGGTGTTTTTCAAAAAAAAAAATTAAAAATTTAAGAAAATGTAAAATACCCCTTCCCCAACTTTAAACATCGGATTGTCCTTGATATAAAAAGAATTAAAACACACCAAAAGAAAAATAAAAGTAAAAACACACCCAACCGTGGGTTGGCTCCCAAAAAGCGCTAAGTTTTTCGTCTTCAGTCGGACATTTTACCTCGACTAAGTTGTTTTTGAATATTGTGGTACCTCGAGCGTTGTTTTCTCAACGAGTATCGTTTTGTCATCTACCATTCGAATGTATGGTTTGAGTCTTTGTCCGTTTACCTTGAATGGTTCACCGCCTTTTGTGTCCTTGATTTCAATGGCTCCATGATCCGCTACATTTGTCACCAAAAAATGTCCACTCCATTTACTCCGAAGCTTTCCAGGGAAGAGTTTGGATGAGAGTTGAATAGCCACACCAATTGTCCTTCAACGAATTATTTTCGGATAATATGTTGGTCATGAAATGCCTTCGTTTTTTCTTTATAGATCCTTGAGCTTTTGTAAGCTTCTTTTCGAATCTCTTCCAATTCAACAAGTTGGAGTTTCCTTTCCATACCTGCATCACTCAATTAAAAGTTAGCATTTTTTATGGCCCACATGGCATGGTGTTCCAACTCCACTGAGAGATAGCATGGCTTTCCATAAACAAGTCGATACAGGGACATTCCAATGGGCGTCTTATAGGCTGTTCGATATTCGAATAATGTATCATCTAATCTTAATGAAAAATCTTTTCGGTCGGGACGAACAGTCTTTTCCAAGATTCGTTTTATTTCTTTATTTGACACTTCTACTTCTCCACTTGTTTGTGGGTGATATGGAGCAGCTATCCTATATGTGACACCATAGTGTTTAAGTAACTTTGCAAAATGCCAATTTTTAAAATGGGAGCCCCTGTCACTAATAATAGTTCGAGGGATTCCACATCTAGAAAATATGTTGTTTTTAACAAATTTACAAACAACACTATGGTCATTCATGCGTGTACCCTCGACTTCGACCCATTTTGATACATAATCAACGACTACAAGAATGTATTGATTGCCAAAAGTAGTGGGGAATGGACCCATGAAATCAATTCCCTGTACATCAAAATTTTCAACTGCTAAAATTGGGGTCATTGGCATCATGTCCCATCTTGAGATCCCCCCAACTTGTTGGCAACGAATATAAGCTTTAACGAACGTATGTGCATCTTTAAAAATAGAGGGCCAGAAAAAACCGCTTTGTAGAACCTGGTGCCCTATCTTTTTGGCACTAAAATGCCCTCCACATGCATATGAATTACAATGTCTAAGAATATCTTCTTGTTCCGTATGTGGTACACATCGCCTAATCACTTGATTTGCTCCAATTCTGAAAAGATCTAGGTCCTCCCATATGTAGTATTTTGTTTGATAATGGAAGAACCTCCTTTGTTGAGCATTCCAATACGATGGAGTTTCCCCTGTCACAAAGTAATTCACTAAATTAGCAAACTATGGTATAGTTTTGACAGCAAGAATATGCTCATCCAAAAATTTTTCTTGAATAACTTCTGTTGAGTTATCATTACTAGTTATTCTAGATAAATGATCCGCCACAACATTTTCGGAACCCTTTTTGCCCGAATTTCAAGATCAAACTCTTGAAGAAGAAGGATCCATCTTATGAGATGTGGTTTGACATCCTTCTTTTTCAAGAGGTGGCGAATGGCACTATGGTCTGTAAAAATTACAACTTTAGATCCCCATATGTAAGATCTAAATTTGTCAAGTGAAAACACAACTGCAAGCAACTTTTTTCGGTAGTAGTGTAATTCAATTGTGCATCCGAATTTATTTTGCTCGCATAACAAATTGCAACAGGCTTTTTATTCACCCATTGTCCCAAAACTGCCCCTACCGCGTAATCACTTGCATCACACATAATTTCAAAAGGTAAAGTCCAATCGGGTGATTCCAAGATAGGGATGTCAAAAAGTTTGTTCTTTAATGTGGTAAAAGATTCAAGACATGCTTTTTCAAAGGAAAATGGTGTGTCTTTTGAAATTAAGTTACAAAGAGGTTTTGATATTGTACTAAAATCCTTAATAAATCTTCGATAAAAGCCGGCATGCCCAAGGAAAGAACGGACACCTTTTACCGAAGTGGGTGGGGGAAGAGTAGAAATAATTTGTACTTTGGCCCGGTCGACTTCAAAACCACGCTCGGAGACAACATGACCAAGTATAGTTCCCTCCTTTACCAAGAAATGAATCTTCTCCCAACTTAAAACCAAATTAGACTTGATACAATGTTTTAAAACCTTTTCTAATTAGTCTAAGCGTATCTCAAAAGATTATCCAAAAATAGAAAAATCATCCATGAAAATTTCTAATGCGTCCCCCACCGTGTCTGAAAAAAATACCCATCATACATCTTTGAAATGTGGCAGGGGCATTACACAAGCCGAATGGCATCCTTTGGAAAGAAAAGGTGCCATAGGGACACATGAATGTGGTTTTGGATTGATCCTCGGGGTGGATGGAAATTTGATTAAACCTCGAATATCCATCCAAAAAACAATAAAACTTTTTACTGGACAATTTCTCAATTATTTGATCAATAAAAGGGATAGGGAAATGGTCCTTTGATGTTGCAACATTGAGTTTGCGATAGTCGATGCAAACTCTCCATCCGGTGACCAGTCTTGTTGAGATCTTCTCTCCATCTTCTGTATCTACCACTGTAATCATGCTGAGTCGGGTCAAGTACATACCAATTATAGTTATGAACTTACACACTAATCCGATAGTCTCCCACTTGGATAATTCTAAAACTATTATTGAGTATGACTTCAAAACCTAACTGCCAATCGTAGCTCTCAAAAGCCGTTATCGAACTCTGACCTTGTCGACGAACTCTGACCTTTGTCAATGACTTTTCCATTAGATAAGGAATCATATATTCCTCCATTCTAGATATCATATGGACTAAGATATGGATTATAAATCATTCTCTTTGTCCATTTGTTGTTTCCCGATTTCCGATTGTTGACAACTAACTAATTGAACAAATCAATTTATTCCTGGCTTGGCCAAGCACTTCGGGGTGTCATCACTAAATCATCGAGGGGCCCACAGATATCGCTTTTATCCCAAAGGTAAAAGGAATGGATAAAATTTGACTCATATGGCTTGTTCTACTACTTGTTGAATCATACACAAAGGCACGTATTATAACATCGAGTTACCAATGTGGTTTCGTGCAATCAATGTATAACCAACTCATGGTAACAACTCATATCTTTGGGTTTGAATAATATAAGATATTATCGTCTCATGATCACTCGTGATAAAATCGATGAAGTGATATTAATGAGCGTGGGTTGAATCCAATACTCAGAATTTTTTGAGCACTCATGAGTGTTGTAGCACCACTTTTTCCAACAGCTTAGACCTCTACAAGCCAACCCATGACAGTCTTGATTCATATCTACTTCCAACATATGACGAACTGTGGATAGTTTGAATAACTTAGTCAATCAGAAAGAACGACCTAGTTATTCTGGAAGTTAAAACATGCAAAGTGAAGCAAAAGAATAATCGAATCCAATATGGTCTCAGAACTTATGAATATAATTAACACATCTTTTATTTATCACCATATTGATTACCCGTCATTCATTACATACTGTTTCAAACTATCAACTTTATACTTGAATTAAAAACAATAGTTGTCCCATGCTCCAAGCATGTACACTATGTTTTTTCTAAAAACTAGTCATTCCATACACCAAGTATGCAAACTAAGTTTGTCTATGATCTTTACTTTGTGATAGATATCGATTGAACATAATTCCAATGATTCTCATTTCACAGTCCCAATTCCTTACTGCAAATGCAAGAATTCCAAATTCCTGCCATTTACCAAAATTTGTTAGATTCTAAACTTATATGCATTGGTCCTTTTGTAATGATTATGCACAACGTCACAAAGACTTGACAACAAACATTATAGAGCAGTCCAAAGGAGATCAACTCCTTGGAAACATCCTTCTTACATTAAGTTTCCTAATCTTACACAAATTGAATAACTTCCACCTATGGAAACATTTCCATATTCCCATTTTGACTATCACTTTTGAACAAGAGTTGACTCTTTTCAGAATATGTCAATATGGTCCTTCCAAAATTAACATTATACTTCCAACTTTCCCTGAGCAACCAATCTTTGGTAAACCTTAGATTGTCCTCGACAATTGTTTAATCCTTTTAGTCATATCCAATTCTAGACCTTTTCTCTTCTTAATGCCCCAAGCATTTGGATAATTTTAGAAAGGATAAATATTATAGCACATGCAATCGATCCTGTACCCAAAGAAAATGAGACATGATTCATGATGTCTCACGTAAAGACATGATTCTAGACCAGTCTTTTGCTACAATATTTTTATTTACCATGTTCTCAAAATTTGACTATGAAGAGGGAC